GGAGAAATTTCCAGGACCCTCCTTCCATGAGAGCAGCATCAGGAGATACTATTAGTGTCATGGGTCACTCTTAGCACCTTGACTGTGACCTGAAGAAGCCGTATTAGGTCATCTGGCACCTTGACGTGTAGCCTAATGAACATTCAGGGGGTAAAAATTTTGAAACTACTTATCGTAAAGTAAGTGTTGAAATGAGGACGAGGAGAAGATCCTCATCTCTCATTTTTAAACTGTAGAATCGGTTCCAGGGTATACTGGTGAAGGTAGTGAAGGAAAAGACAGAAGAAACCTGCCAGTTAATAGAGCTAGTTTGCTCTTTTTAGGAACAGAGATTCAAAAGGAGGATGTTAACCTAAATATGCGACAACAGGGGAATGGTTAAATAAAAGTTAACGGAATATTATGCGACCATCAAAAATACTTGCAAAGACACTTCAGTGACACAGGGAAATGCTCAGAATACAGTGCTAAATGGCTGAAGAGGGCACAGATGTTCTCAACAGCATCACATGTTTAAAATGTTTTTACGTATATGCGTATAAACCAAACCAAACCCTTTGCTGTCGAGTCAGTTCCAACTCATAGCGACCCTATAGGACAGAGTAGAATTGCCCATAGGGTTTCCAAGGAGTGGCTGGTGGATTCAAACTTCCGACCTTTTGGTTAGTGGCCAAGCTCTTTACAACTGTGCCACCAGGGCTCCATACGCACATACTACTTAGAAAAACAAAGACAGTGGTTATCTCTGGGTAGTGGGATTACAGTTATTTTTCTTCCCTATAATGTTCAGTGTTTTACTAGCGATTTTCCATCAAAAGTAAGCATTTTATATTCAGAAGGAAGAGGGTATTTTAGAGGTTCTGGAGACAGAGCCTCCCAGAAGAGGAGGACCTGAGCACCAAGCTCAGAAGAACATCTCTGGTGCCCTAGAAGAGAAACACTGAGTCTGAGCAGGATTGAGAAGGAAGGAACCTAAGATAGGATTTATCTTCTGGTCCAGCAAAAAGTATCTCGCTATTAGAGAAAATATAACTTTTTTTTTTTTTTTTGGTGTATATATATATTTTCATTTCATTTTTCTAGTACTTCATTTTCTTTGAAATTTATTAACATTTAATCAAATGTAGCATAACTCATCTTTAAGCATGCCCTTATCACAACATAAAGTAAAAATGTAGTTGTTCATATAGGGATGCTAATGTTGAAGGATGAAACAGTTGATGATCTCCTTACATACATCTTCTATGCCTCCTTTTCAGGAATGACTGAAAAGACTTACGTGGAATCTATACTTGAGGGTATAAAACAGTCCAAACAAGAAAACTTAGATATTGATGTTAGGTAAGAAACATTGTACTAATATTCTTTGTACTTAACCATTTAAATAATTAGAATGTGAAATTTTACTGTTTGGCTCACAAGTGTAACAGATTTTTATAAATCAGCCCATAAGCGATTTCTATCTTCCATTAGAAAAAATAGGCAAAACCCTGTTGTTTATCTAAAGTTGAGAATGCAGGTCTGAATTTATTTCTTCAACAAATAAATAGCAAGAAAAGAGGGAGGAAGGCTGTAGATTAAAAGAGACTTAAGAGACACACTGAACAACACAACTTGTGGATCTTATTTGGATCTTGAATCAAGCAAACTGTAAAAGCGAAATAAATACACAACCACCACAAAAATGAGACAATTGGAAATTTGAATACTGACTAGACATTTGATGCTTGGAGCCCTAGTGGTGCAGTGGATAAGCATTTGGCCGCTAACCAAAAGGTTGGTAGTTCGAATCCACCAGCTGTTCCTTGGAAACCCTGTGGGGCAGTTCTACTCTGTCCTGTAGGGTTGCTATGACTCAGAACCGACTGGATGGCAATGGGTTTATCTGCTGCTGCTTTAGGAATTTGTGTACTATTCCTTCTGGCAAAGTAAAATCCATGTCTAGACTTCAGTCAGGCTGTACTTTCTCTAGAAAGATGTATTCCATGTAGTCTGCCGTGCCTCTTTGCCTCTTTGTCTTCTACTGTGTATTTTCCGTATTAAAGGTATTTGATAGCAATTGACAGAAGAGGTGGGCCTTCAGCAGCCAGGAAGACTGTTAAACTTGCTGAAGAATTCTTCCTTTCTACTGAGGAGACAGTCCTTGGCATTGACCTCAGTGGAGACCCTACAGTAAGTTATTTTTTCTAAATATATTTTATTTCTGAAAGGTAGAATCAGTGGGATAAGGATTAGCTTGGAGCATCCTGTCTCCTCCAGAGGATGCAGTGCACTCTGTGTGAATGGAGCCCTGTTATGCCCTGGAGGACCAGAATGTCTACAGCAGCTGTTCTTAACCCAAGTTCTGAGAGAGAATCAGGCCCCCTTTTGAAAACAACAGCTTTGCGTGGCCATTTCTCCATTCTTCTAAAGGTAGTACACAGCTAGTCCCATTCTGCATGCACGGGAGAGAAGTTAGCTCATTACACACAATGGATGTCTTAGGGCATTAGGACTTACTTACCTCATGGAACTCCCGGGTGAGAAGGGTGGTCTAGTGCTTCGGATTAAAGCAGAGTGTCTCAAATGTGGCACTGTTCATATTTTGGGCCAGATAATTCTTTGTTGTGGGGCTGTTCTGTACAGTGTTGAGCAGCATCCCTGGCCTGTACCCACTAGATGTCGGTAGCTCCCTGTTGTGACAACCAGAAATGTCTCCAGACATTACCGAATGTCCCCTGGGGTGGGGGTAGGGGGCAAAATCGCTTCCTGGTTGAAAACCACTGGATTGGAGAATGCCATGAAACTAATTCTTACGACTTGGACTAAACTTGGACTCTTCTGCTCTTATTTTCATTCATCCATTTGGTGAAAACTTTAATAATCACCAGAGTTCTTGAAACAGGTGAGTTCTCCTGCTTAGGCATGTCGGGGCAGGCCATTTGTGAACCGCTTCCCCACCTTTCACGCTGCAGAGATGGGCGGGTGGAGACCCGACTGGAGTCAGGACACTCGTGCTCTTGTCCTGGCTCTCTCCTGACTGTGGATTTTCGTCTTCGACTTCTGTAGATTTGGGCACATCGTCTCATTTTTCTGGGCCTTGTTTCTTCATAAAAATGACACGATAGGACTAGGTATCTTGATTTCCTTCCAGAAATAAAATTTTGTGACTGCTGTATCTAGCTTAGCTGACTGACTTCACTGACACTTGGCTTACGATTCCGAAGGCAGGAATTGTGCCAGCTTTGTGTTCCTCGGAGCGTGCAGAACATTGTAGGTGCTTCGTAAACGTTTTAGTAAATGTGTAAGCGAATCAGTCTGCCATTATTTTATTCCTTTGTTCGTTAGGGCGGAGTATGCAATTCCTTAGTTTGTTTAGAATTCTCATGCATTTTAACTGTTATCTTCAAGGTAGGACAAGCCAAAGACTTCTTGGAACCTCTTTTGGAAGCTAAAAAAGCAGGTCTGAAGTTGGCATTGCATCTCTCAGAGGTAAATAATATTTTCTTAGGCTGGAGAGGGCAAATTACAGTGGAAAATGATAGTGTTATTTTTAAATGACTAAAAATAAACCTAGCTTAGAAAAACATTTTTAAAAGGGGAAAGTAGAAATAGCTTTAATGTAAATTAAAATGATAAAGGCATGACTTGTTTTAGTCCCTAGTGGTGCTGTTTTTATCTTCATATGGTTGCTGGGGGTGGCTGTTGACTCACAGTCCAGCTGTGAATAAGAACAGCTTGACGAAATCTTGCTAGAATTTCCATCACCAGCCCCGTCACTGGCAAGCTGACCCCGAGAGAGGCAGCAGTTCATCTCACATGTCCTCACAGTGGAAGGGACCTGAATGCATCCCATACAGTAGCAAGAAGGAAATGGCTCATCCTAGTCGTCATTTTGTGGGGCTCAGCAGGGGCCTTCATGCTCCAGCCCCCCGCTCCTCAGCAGCATGAGCGCAGGACAGATAATGTACAGATAAAGACTGGAGGACAGTCAGTTTCTCTTATGCTCATGCTAATGAGGCAAAAAAAGGGGTTCTACCCCTCTTTCCTCATTTTACAGATGGATTTACTTTCTCGGTTTTGCCTCTTCGTTAAATGCAGGTAATAATACTTATTCTACTTATTTCACGGGGTTATTGTGAGTATTAAATGGGGTAACATATAAAGGTTGAATAGTATCATGATTTAAAGGTAAAGAAAAAAATTGGAACTTCTTGCCAGTACTTGTGTTTTTCATGTCTGAAGGCCGAGGGGTTCGATTCACGGTCAGTAATCCAGTGGCAGAGCTTAACAATTGTAGGATCTGTGTTTCCACACTCTGGTTGTAGCAGATTCTCACCCTCTAGCTGACCTCACTGATCCTGATGGAAGCCCTTGGTTGGTACAATGAACAGTGTGTGTCTCTGTGGCTCCTGGTCTCTGTGTGCAGTAGCAGAACATGCTCATCCTTCAAGGCCTTCACCTCAGTTCCGTTGCCTGTCTTCTGGGACATCAGTGAGAGTTTGTGTGAAAAGGCAGAGAGCAGGTTCTTATTAAGGGTTGTTATTGAATCTAGAATTATTATTACTGTCATTGAAATGAACCTAGAAGACTACTGGGGAATGAATGAGAAGGTAAAACGTGAAGAAGAAAGCTGGGAAGGTGTAAGGATGGACGCTCAGAAGTGGCTGCTTAGCAGGACAGAGTACCTGGCTATAGAAAAAATGCTTAAAGGACCATTGAAAGAGATCCTTGATCCTCTGTCCTTATTTTTTTTTTTTTTTTAGATTCCAAACCAAAAAAAAGAAACACAAATGCTCCTGGATCTGCTTCCTGACAGAATCGGGCATGGGACGTTTCTTAACTCCTCTGAGGGAGGATCCTTGCATCTGGTGGACTTTGTTAGGCAACATCGGATACCACTGGGTGAGGCTTTGTTCCGGGTCTCCAGACAGCCTCTGCCTCCCTATCCACCAGGTTACAACCCTTATGTAGAGAAGTAGTGTACTGAAAAAACAAATATCCTTTAGAACATAAAAGATGCAGGGTGTATGTGCTTTCTGAGCCTCATTTAAGTAACAGAAAGTAGTTAGTTCCCGTTAGAACAGAAGCTCCATGAGGAAAGGGACCTTGTCTTTCTTGTCCACTGCTACATTCCTCAGTGCTTAAGGCAGTACCTCACACTCAGTTAACATTTATTGAAGGAATAAGGCTCAAAGCGCTCAGCTGCTAACCATAAGGTTGGCGCTTTGAACCCATCACCTGCTCCGTGGGAGAAAACGTGGCAGTCTGCTTCCATAAAGATTTACAGCCTTGGAAACCCTATAGGGTCACTATGTGTAGGAATCGACTCAACAGCAGTTTTTTTTTTTTAAGTATTTTGAAATGGTGTTAACCTAATTAACATGTGTTATGAAAATATGTAATATTTATTTAAAAATTAAGAATTATGGAAAGTCCAGGTGTATTTTTACATGTCTGTTGGTCATTACACACTTGTTTGTCTACATTTATATACTTGAAGCTGTTTTTATGTAACAACAAATGTTTAGAAGAACGTATTCTGCTGCAGTCACCGTTTTAGTTGCTGAAGTAGGCAGGAAACACAAAACACGTGGCTTTTTCTCAAGGAACTTACCTTCCAGTGGAAGGCAGATGGACAATAAGCAAATACATAAGAAAATAATATCACTAAGTCCTGTGAAGAAAATGAAACAGGCTGATATAATAGCAGTCATTTTGGCTGCTGTGTAGTAATGGGAAGGGGGGAAAAGTGGAAGCTGGGAGATAGGTCAGGAGGCTGTTCTGTGGAAACCCTTGCATAGTAATATTATTTGGTGTGGTGGGATTAGATTGACAACAGCACTCGAGAGATTAGATAGGAACCTTAGGGGTGGTGAGTTTATGTTAATGGAAGAGGAACAACTTGGTAAAGGAGGGTGAGAATGGTTGCACAACTTGAATGTAATCAATGTCACAGAGTTGGACAGGTTAAAAACAAGTCAATTTTGTAAAAGAATGAACTACTGCAAATTACTGTAGTTTGGAAAGATTTCTTATGTATCTGTTGGTGAACTTGGAATGAATTCTCTTGTCTGCTTTTAACAAGAGGCTTTTTTTCCCCTTTGATCTAGAACTCTGTCTTACCTCAAATATCAAAAGCCAGATGGTCCCGTCTTATGACCAGCATCATTTTGGATTCTGGTACAGCATCGCCCATCCTTCAGTGATCTGTGTAAGGCATCTGTGTGCACTGTTTTGCTTCTCTGTAGTCCCAGAGTTGCGGTAGGTCACATGTTCACTCCCTAGCTGACTTCTTTTTGCCAGAGGGGAATGCTTAAGTAGAGGGAGGAGGGGTCTGGGGCGGGAGAGGCTGCAGGGGGCTAGGGTGACTGGTTTGGTGCTACAGGAAGAGGTCCAGGATGGTACCTGGGGGAACTTAAAAAAAAAATACTGGTGCCCAGCACCCACCCTTGTGATTCTGCTTTATTTGATCTCGGTTGATCCTGAGTGGTGATGTTTTTTAAAAGCTCCCTGGGTGATTTCAGTATGCATCCAGTGTTGAGAACCACTGCTCTGGTTTTTTTTTTTTTCCCTCCCAAACGTATAAACAAGTCTGTGTAGTAGAGATATGCACAGGGGCACTTAGAGGCCCCTGTGTAGATTCTGGAGCCCTGGTGGCACAGTGGTTAAGAGCTTAGCTGCTAACCAAAAAGGTCAGCAGTTTGAATCCACCAGCCACTCCTTGGAAACCCTATGGGGCAGTTCTGCTCTGTCCTATTGGATCACTGTGAGTTGGAATTAACTTGATGGCAGCCAGTCTGATTTGGTTTGGCTTGGTGTAGACTCTTAGAAGAAGCATGCTAAATAGGAAAGTAGGCCCTAAACAAAAAGGTGGTGTTTTAAAAAATAATTTCCTTGTTCATTTTGAAAATTTCTTTTATGTTGACAGACTGATGATAAGGGTGTTTTTGCAACACACCTTTCTCAAGAGTACCAGCTTGCAGCGGAAACATTTAATTTGACCCAGTCTCAGGTGTGGGATCTGTCTTATGAATCTATCAACTATATCTTTGCTTCAGACAGTACCAGATCTGAACTAAGGCAGAAGTGGAATCATCTGAAGCCCAGAGTGTTACATTTTTAAGCTGTAATGAGGTGAACTGCTCTCAAGTTACGTGTTGCAACAAGATCTTCCTGCCACATCCAACTTAGTAAATCATCCACCACTCCCTTTGAAGCATAAGCAGCCAAGTACCTGGGCTCCCGGTGCTAAATAAATATGTATGAAACTGCAGGCATTGAGCTCTTCATAGCTTACCTCCAGGCTGCCTGCTGAACGGCCTTGCCGCTAACAGACCTCCCATTCCACTTGTAAATTACTTTTTTTTTTTTTTTTTTAGCACTGTCTCCCATTAATGATCATAAAACTTCAGGTAAATCAAAGTAGTTTCTCAGCAGGACAAATTTTACAATCACTAGTCTAAATAGGAGCCCTGGTGGCAAAGTGGTTAAGAGCTTGGCTGCTAACCAAAAGTTCCGCAGTTTGAATCCACCAGCCACTCCTTGGAAACCCTGTTCTGTCCTGTCCTGTAGTGTTGCTATGAGTCAGAATCGACTCGACAGCAGTGGGCTTGGGTTTTGTTTGTTTGTTTTAGTCTAAATAATGTGGGAAAAACAGATTGCTGCCAAGTGCGTTTGTGAATCCCAGCAGTCAGGGTCATGCACTCTGGGGACTCCTGTGACAGAGCCAGCTGCTGAGGTCTGGCTTTGCCCTTCTCATGATTGTCCCATCAGTACTTAAAAGGGACTGAAGTCATTCCTCCAGTTTAGGACTGAAAGGAGAGAATAGCTGGTCAAGGGATGGGAAAGACAGAAACTCGGCAGTTTCCATTAAAACGAACTTTGTCACTTTAGTTTTTCTCTGTGGAAGCTGCCAGGATTTCTACCCCAGTGCTGACTTTCTCCTGATCACAGAAGGGCCTCCAGTAGTGGCAGCATTGTTAACTGAGGGTCTCTGTAACCCCAGCCCTCCACAGCGGACCGCTGGCACAGGCTTACCTAAGCTCACACATACCAGAGCCACTTCAGCTGAAGATGAGGGATGAACTTAGTTCAATTCTAAATGGTAAGGGAAAAAAAGTTTATTAGATATCAAGGTATGCTTGAATTACTTTGTTTCTTGGAATGCATATTTTTTCCTGGGATCAGAGGAAGATAAGGTGATGACACTTCTACTTTCAGTTACTAAGACTTTCTGATGAGTATTCTATCTGTCTGTCTTTTAGGGAGGATAAAGAGAAGCCCTTTAGGTTTTTGAAGTTCTTATTGAAGATCCTTGTGTCCTCTACCCCACCCACCCATACAGAAATTGCATATCCCTAGACTCTTGAAATAAGGTCAGCCTGGGTTCCTTTAGGGCCAGAAAACTTCAGAACTCAGGTTGGAAACCTAGGAGAGTTTCCAAAGCCTGTCTGAATTATTGACCTATAAAATAAACTTTAATCTTTTTATCCCTTAATTTATATATGAAAGAAAATTACTTTTTTCTTAAAAAAATCATGAATATATTCAAAGACATAGTTATAATAATATTCATCATAGTACTGTATAGTAATAAAATTGCATAGTCTAAATATCCAAAATTAAGAGATCATTAAGAAAAATATATAGTCGATTCATAAAATGTGGGTATTTTGCCACCACTAAAAATGTTGTAGAATAAAATGTAATGACACCAAAGTGGTCTTGATGATAATCAGTAAAAAAAAAATGTTGCTGTAAACAGTTTTATAGTCCATTTTTATTGAATATGTATACAAAAGCTAGTGGGATGAGGGATTTTAATTCATTGGCTTTATCATGAAGTTCTTTCACAATATAAAAGTCAGGCTGGCCCAGAAGAAAAACAGGAGAGGACGCAAATAACCCAAATAAGAAGTGAAATGGGGGACATTACAACAGACCCAACAGAAATAAAAAGGATTATAACAGAGTATTATGAAAAACTATAATCCAACAAATTTGAAAACCTAGAGGAAATGGATAAATTTCTAGAAACACACTGCCTACCCATACTTTCACAAAGTGATGTTGCAAATCTGAACAGACCCATAGTAAGAGAAGAGATTGAAAAGGTAATAAAAAAAATTCCCAACAAAAAAAAGCCCTGGCCCAGATGGCTTCACTGGAGAATTCTACCAAACATTCAGAGAAGAGCTTGTACCAGTACTACTAAAACTATTTCAGAACATA